TTTTAGCCGTCGCAAAACTTTTGTGACTGTGTTGTAGCAGTCTTGCTTGCTACTGCCCATGATGATAACGTCGTCTATGTAGCATCATACGTTAGGGATGCCTTCCAGGACCTTGTCTATCAGTGCCTGGAAGATTGCGGGTGCACTGGAGATTCCAAACGGAAGTCTCTGATATTCAAAGAGTCCCAAGTGCGTGTTAATCGTAAGCAGGGGCTTGGCTTCTGCACTTAGTGGCACCTGCTGGAAAGCGGAGGACAAGTCCAAGACGCAAAAGACCTTTCCACCAGCAAGCATGGAGTAGAGGTCTTCCGGCAGTGGTAGCGGGTAGCAGTCAGTCTTTAGTACTTGGTTTATGGTCACCTTATAGTCTCCGCAGAGCCTTATTCCTCCGCCGCACTTGGGAACGACGACTACAGGAGTTGCCCAGTCACTGCGGGTCAGTCGTCTCACGATGCCATCGTTTTCTAACCTGCGTAACTCTGCCGCAACAGCTTCTTTGGTTGCGAATGGTATAGGCCTCGCTTTGCAGTACACTGGTGTGCTGTTCGCTTTTAGGACGACCTTTGCCTCGTAGTTGGACACAACTCCAGGTGTGCTATGGAAGACTTCTGAAAACTTCTCCTTTAGAGACTTGACTTTGTCTTCCTCTGTTACTGCACAGACGGCCTTCCAATCAAGTTGCAACTCTTCTAACCAGTCGCGACCTAGTGGTGCGGGTAGAGTTCTTTGGTTATCTTCCACCACGAAAAGAGGAAGCGTTGCGCTGCGTCCGTTGTGCTCTACGTTGACAGCTGTCTTTCCTTTTATCTTCAAAGGTTCTCCAGCGTATGCTCTCAAGGAAACCTTTGTTGGTTTGCATGCGACTTCCGCGAAGTTCGCCTCGTAGACGCTTTCAGGAATCAGCGTAACTGCTGCGCCCGTGTCCAGCAACATAGAGATTGGCTTCCCTTCAATATTTACGGAAACCTTGTACCCACGCTTGTCGCTTGCTGCACAGAGCATGACGTGATAAACTTGCAATGTTTCGGAGTCATCGTCTGACGTATCAACATAGTTTATCGGACGCCGGTTCTTTTCTTGGCACATTGCTTCCAAATGTCCTGTCTTTGTGCACGCCCGGCATTTCGTATTTCGATACCAGCATCGGTCAGGCGCATGTCCTTTTCCACAGCGATAACAACCGCGATTCGTCTTTGATGCGCCTTCCTTCTTTAATCGTGACGCATGCGTTTCCCGCTTGTTTTTTTTTTCTTTGTTTTTTGATCTTGACGCGTGCGTTTTCCCTCATGTGCTGCCGCTGATAGCGTGAACTTCTGTCGGTCTCGCTTCTACTGTACGCAGCTCGCTGGTTTGCCGCGATGCGAGTTCCTTTTCAAGAGCTATTTTACATGCGCCTTCAAAAGTCAGACCCTTTGTAGCAAACAATATTCTCTGAGTCTCTTCGTCGCGTAAGCCTGCTACCAGGCGGTCTCTCAAAGCTTCATTCAGAAATGCCTTGTATTCACAGTTGCGTGCTAGGTGCTTCAATTCTGTCATAAAATCCTTCACGCTTTCACCTTCTTGTTGCATTCGCCTGTTGAATTTGCAGCATTTGGCAATTACGGAATACTCCGGACTGAAGTGGTCTTCTAGCAACTCCCGCACTTGCTCGAAAGTTTTGTCGGCGGGCCTCTGTGGAACTAGAATTTTCTTGAGCTCCTCGTAAGCCTGACCACCCACCACGTTCAAGAACAACTTCAGCTTTTTCACCGCAGGTACTTCGTTAATGTCAACAAAATTTTCAAACCTCTCGTAGTATGACCTAATGTTGTCGCTCTTTGGGTTGAACTCAGACATGCCTCCTAGGCGTTGCTGAGGATGAGGCGTTGACATTATGTCGGTCGAAACAGTGCACTTATATGTTCCGTTGATCTTGCCCTCTCCGTCCTCTGTCGTTTCTGTGACGCTTGCTCCTGGCTTCCGCGATGCTGCGTTGTTACTTGACTGGCCGTTGTGCCGAGCTGCCGCCGATGCCGCCGTGAAATCCCATCTTCATCGCCAGTTGTTCTATTGTGGCCGAGATACAGAGACCAGACTCATGTCGGAGCGAATCGAACAAGAAAAAGGTTTATTTGTTACGTACTCTCTTTATATAGTCGCCGCTATCAGGGCGATGACGTCATGTTGCTGACGTCAGGGTAGCGTGTTTATCAATACATGACAGTTACCAAGATGAATGTAGAGAAGAGGGTCTACTCAATAACCACCCACATCGGCCAACTGAAGAGATGGGATGGAAGATGCCAAGAACTGTCCGACCAATGAAGCACCGACGAAGAAGCCAGCGTGCCGAGACATAGCACACATTTGCCCAAAAGACCTTCGTACCTTAGGGACTACGCCACATGAACTGGGGACAGTTCGCTGCCAGGAAGGGCTGAGTGTTAGCTAAATCCGAAAACGATGGGAGGCAACATTGGGCAGAGAGAGCCAGGGATGCGGGTGGAACATGGCGGCAAGCATTGTGTGCGTTCGCCGCACGTGTAACTTTTAGTTTTACTTTCCTGTATTAAAGTCTTTTAATTTTCCTAAATGTTTTGTTAATCAAAGGAAAAGCCAACAATTATTACTGGCCATGACTAACCTTAACTATTAGAGGCTTTACCGTGTGTGGCAACTTCAAGCAAGTTGACTGAAATGAGTGTGATCAAGCTCCGTCCTATTTGACGGAATCTTCTTTAGTGGGTGAACAGCATCTCCCATTGAGCATAGCAGTGTCTATGAATCCTTTGTTGATTGACTACTTATTAATTCTTATGGCCTCTCTGGTAGTTCACAGTTAACAAAAACAATGAGTAGCTTGTGTTTATTTTTAGAGGTCTATGATGACCAGGCACTACTACTTTAAGGGCAGTTCTTACTGGGGGATACGAAAAGTTGCTGCGTCTTTGGATGAAGTGCGTGCATATAACTACATATCGCAACACTGTTAGTACAAACAAGGGATCGTCATTTTTTGAGAGTCTCTTAAAATTGAAGTGCTGGCACAAAAAAAATGACAGGAAGACACTTAAGACTGCTAATGTGTGGGAATGCGAAAGCATTTGTATACGTAGCATATTCCTACCAGCTGCACTGAGCCTGGCCAGGCGACCTCTGTGGAGGCTGCCCGGACAAGCTCTGCGGCCGGCCGCTCTGCAGAGCCCTGCCACCCTCTCACTCTTGCCGACGGCCAGGCCGCTGCACCATGGAGAGGGCTTCTCTGTGGGGTGGCATTCCTTGGAACTATGCCGCGCTACAGACTGCAGGCTTCACTCCATGGGACGGGGGAATGCAGGTGCCGTTTGGCGCCACTTCAAAAGTCGATAACGCCGGTTCGTTCCATGGGACAGTTAATGCTTTCGCATTAAAACTGATAGTATGGTAGAAAATGCTCATTTGGGGCTCAACTTTTATACCCGCCAATAGTACCACTTTAAAGTGGAATTCGAAAAAGTACCAATGTCATGTTTGTGCTTAAATTGCCGTGCCGTGTATGAGAGTTCTCACTTTTCATATTTTAAAATATGATTCGGCAAAACAACGAGGTTGACTAAAGTGCATCTGATTCCCACGTGATGTGCTCGAAGCATTTAGCGAATTGCAACGTTGAGAATAAGAAAATGTCCCAGTTGAAAAGGGCTGCCTATCCAGCGTTGCAGCTTGAAAGGCTTGTGCATGGGCTCTCAGGGTAAATTCCTTCACATCGATCAAACTAAGGTACCCTTTGAGATCTTTCCCCTCTCCTTCCTTGAAGGCCAGGTCCTCGCTCATAAAGAACCGGTGGATTTGCGCCAACCTCAGGAAAGGCAAGGCAGCCATTTTTATGGCTTGCAGATGCCACCTCTTTTTCTTTTCTCACCACAGCCTGCTAGTACCCATCTAAAGTAATCCTAAAATCGGAGTTCGGCACTATGATGTCACTGTAACCTTTTGCATGAAGAGCAGGTGAGCATGCTTGCCATACAGTAGAGTATTTTCACGCTTTACATCACTGTTTACCCAACAACTATCTACTAAGGTAGGGAAGCCTTGACCTCACAAACACCTTTTATTAATTTAATTTTGAGTGAGATAATGCCCTATTTGATGGTATGAGCACTACAGCGTCGCTTTTCTGTCTCATTGTGCAAAGCAGGAGACCAGCATTTTCTTGTCTTGGCCAAAATTGTGCCTTGCCATCTCGTACTATATGTGCAGAGCACTGCAGTGAAGCATCGGGGTTAGTGTAGCCCATAACAGGTCTTACGGTGACATGGATATTTACATGACTGCAGTGCTAGCCCTAGAAGTTTCACATTTGAAGACATGCTCAACTTTACAAGACACCAGCAGATGTCCTTGAATATTTTTGTACTAATGAAAGCATAGAAACACTTTGTTCAGAATTGTGCACCCGTCACTCCATAAATAAAAGGTGGTGTTCATCTATATTTTTGCAGAAATGCATTTCTGGCGAGATGCTCTATGCTTTTATGGACTCAAACTTGGGGATGCACATCAACTTGTCTATGCTGCCATCAGTGTGGCCAGCTCAGTCCTAGAGAAGGTGGCTAGACTGACCTTGGAAAAGGGCCCATTTCCAGCATTGTGGAGGGAGACAATGTGGCAAACATCCTATTAACAGAGAAGCGCTGGTGCGACTCATCTAGATACAAGCCCATTCCCACCCGTCAGAACGGTTGACGCAGTCAACGCGAGCTCTTATGCCTCACTCTCATTGGCCTGTGTAAGCGATCATGTGGTGATAGCGAAAACTAATGATGTTCTGATTGGAAGTTTGGGTATGAGTCTCGGTATACAGCCTATCGCGCCAACATAAACCGACTCAAAAACATGTTCTGCCTGACGATTTTGTCAGGTATGACAATGTATTGTCACAAATTTGTTCAAGGGGTGAAACCAACGCAAAACCGTATTGTGCATATGACAATATTGTCAGGTATGATGAAAGTAATGTGACATATATTTGTTTTTTTCAGGGTACCTTACAGCGAAGGTTCACGAAAACTGGTAGTGGATGCCTTGTTGCCTCTCCGCACAAGCGAAGATATGATCGAGCGTGGTGCAAAAGAAAATGCCAGTGAAAACGGATCACTTGCAGACTCCTCCAGGTCAGAGAAGCCGCCGTTGTTTTTCTTTTACTACAGATAACTTTTTTTTTTTTTTTTTTTTTTTACTTTTTTTTTATTTTTTTTTAGATGCTTCCTTTCAAAACATTTTTTTAAATTTCGTTCAATTGAGGTTATATTGCAAGTCCATCATTTATTTATTTATTTTATCCTCGGGGCATGAGCATTACAGAGAGGGAAGTGGTTTCATGAATTATTGAAAACACAGACACACACCCAGGAAAGTACAATCAGTGTAGATTAGAAAAAAAAAAAAAAAATTCCAGGGCTTTTTTTAAAAAGGTCATAATTTGTGAAAGAGACTACAGGCTCGGCATGGTGGTTCAAGTCACAGGATGTAGATGGTATGAAAGAATTGGGTGAACGGCATTGGTGCGACCATATGGGACGCCAACTTTGTGTTGATGGTCGAGCCTAGGTGAAACATAAAGGTATGATCAGCGTGTCGTTAGTGAAACAAATTTTATGAAACAAACTTAGACGGGCTATTCTTCTACGGGTTGATAATTGAGGGAGAGAAAGATTAGATTTTAGTGTGCTTACGCTGACTGTTCTATGTTAATTATAAAATATAAATCTAATGGATAAATTTTGGACAGCTTCAATCAAATCAGTTTGTACAGTCTAAGCTCATTACAACAGACCTGGTTACAACAGACATTTGGATATAACATACCGATTTGTGAGGTTCGGTATGTTATACAGTAAAACCTCGTTATAACAAAGTTGAAGGAGCGGTCGTAATTATTTCGTTATAACCATTAGTTTGTTACAGCCAATGTCCATTTCCTCCCACTATTAGCAAGCAAGGGGAATTATGATTGCTTTGTTATATCCATTAGTTTGTTATATCCCATTTTGTTATAAAGAGGTTTTACTGTATATGCTATGCACCAATGACTCAACTTCATATCTGCATACAACATACTCCTTCTACAACAGACCGAAATCTTGGTCAAAAACGAGGTCTGTTATAATGAGCTTAGACTGTATACACTGACCAGGGTTTCAGACGGGAGGTTCACATTGAAGCTTTGATTATACGAGGGTTTTATGTAGAATTAGTTTCAAGGATTGGGGTGCTAAAGAAAAATTTCTTTTAACCTAGCATGCGATTAGCATCGTTAATGATGTAGGTAGTCAGTGTGAGTCTTCCATGATAGGTTAGATGTAGTATGAACTCCTAGATACAGTATCTAGGAGTTCTTCTATACAATAATGTGTGATAAATTATTTGCAACCAAGTGCACAAAAAATGCCTGGTTAATCGTTTCTTTTGCATTTCACTCTCCCTTAAACAATCATATGCTTAGGGAGAAATTATTTCTTGGTTAATATGGGGTGTGGTATGTTGTGGCATAACGGGAATAAGCAAGGAGTGTCTTTGATTAGCCACTTTGCAGTGGCTAATCAAATGCTATCGACTTTTCACTGAAAAATGATATGTTGTGGAACCTCATTGATATATTCCTCAGGGGGGGGGGGGGGGGGGGGGGGTTGTGGTAAAAATACAAACAATGTACAACCTAGGAAAAGATTACCGATAATGCTTGTAGGGGCCTAAGGACAAAATGGGAACTTCCAGGCAGCAATTTATTTCATGTAAAACATGTGTCACAGCAGTAAGAGCTCCCATATTTATTGAAATGTTGATACTAACCATATTATTTTCTCACAAACTGTTTTATCTTTTTTTTTAATTTGGGGTTGTTTTAAAGTTGTCAACAAATTAATGTTGACCTATAACAGAGAGCAAGGTTTCGGGGCCCATTCAGCTAACCCAGAAGCTGCCTGCGTTAGCCGCCGCTTCTACCACACCGGTGCCAAGCGGCTAAGCTCGACACTCATCGACGCAGAACACTATAACCTAACATGCACTCCTCAAGCATAGCCCACAATGAAATACCGTGAACTTGTGCGAGATTAAACTAGCGCAACCAGTGAAGGCAAGCGCGTGAGAAGCGTGCAAGTGTGTCGCGGAAAACGAAATGGAAAGAGCAATGGGCTGTTCCACAAGCCTTCATCCCTTTGAAGCAAAGTCCAGGGCCGTGCCTGCCCAGACAAGAAGCACGGTGCAGAGAGGTAAAGATTTGAAAAAGAAGATTAGCAAGGGCAAAAGGAAGAGGGTGGCTCTGGCCGGGCTTCGTGCTGTTCCTCTCATCGTCGCCTGGTGCTTTTAGCGTGGTGTTTATAGCAGTCAGGAAAAGATATAGGCTGAAATTGTGCCGGCAAGGTTCTAGTGTATGCACCATTTACTATGCTTCGTCTCACTTTCAGTATGAGTGTAGCACAAACCACAAGAGCAAGCTCCCGACTTTCGGCATCCCTGGCAAGTGCACTCTCATGCGGCGCAAGTGTCGTTCGGGGCAACACACTTGTGCTGGTGACTATGGCTTTGCTTGCACAGAGAGTGGAAAAGCTGTATATATCCTGCGCGACTGTTTGTACTGTTAATTTGCTTTACTGACAGAAAAGAAAACAAGCAAAAGCAACCAGAAACAATCATTCTCTGCTCTCATTGATCAGATTAGTGAAACAAGTGCAAGTTGCCATGGCGACTTATTTGCCATAGAAACTTGCCTTATGTCATAGCTATTGGGGAGGAGGAGCAACCGCGACGCCCCAAGTGGTTAACTTTAGAACTTGTGGGCTTTGCGGCCCGTCACCGCGCAAAAGAACTCGCGCTCCGCGCCCGGCCAGCAACGTGCGCGCGAGCCACGCTCGAGGCTCGGGGGGCTCGGCAGTCGGTTGGCTGCCGCCAGACAGTAAAGGTGTGTTCTATGATATCTGCCTCGTTGGTCCTTCTTGCGGGTGAGCAGTAGCACCGAACCCTACAAACTACACGGATGGGGACGACAAATACAATGACTCAACACTCGGCCGACATAACCGAACGCGGCGTCAGCGTTCGGCTGGAGTTCGTGTTCTCCGGCGAGGAAGACGAGGGGCTCTTTTGTTTCCACTAGGGCCTGCATGAACAATGCAGCATGCACCGTCCCAGCTCAGCACAAAAGCCAAAGTTGGTCAAGCTCGCATTCTCTGAGGATAGATCCGGCACTTAACGTCGCTTCGTCGATTGTTAGTATTCCTTACATTAAACTGTGCCCCGCGCTCTATTGTAGAAGATGACATGGACATGCCCATAAGGCCTGTTGGTATGTGCACAGGCTTTGTGTTGAGTAAACACCAAGCTGTGGGGAAGCAAACGGTCCAGAGCGCCCCCTATAGTTCGATCTCCTGCCCAATTGGCCTCGAGATCGACCTAGAGGTGGTGCTACTGTCGCCCTATCATTATCATCAAAGCGGGGATAGAAGCATTGGCGCCCCATAGGCTCTCCACGTTCGTGCGCGAGGCGGTGTAGATTCTTGCGTTTATTTTGTCGTATGTTATCGGTGGGAAAACAATTTTAGCAGAAAATGGTGCGATACCGCTCGGTGCTTCAGTGAAGATCGAATTGTGTTACAAGAGTACGACCTAAATTTTAAAAACAAAACGCTCGTGTGAATGCGTCGTCTGCTCTAGGCAGACGTTGGGAAGCATGGACCACGATGAATCCCTGTCTCTGGTTGAACTGCACTATTTATGTTAAATATTTATTTCTTTTAAAATAGATGTATTCGTTCAGCAGCATGGGAATTCAACAAAACAATGAATTCCAATCCGGATAACATAATACTGGTACTGTGGGCTGTGCAATTGCCGGATCTACGCATATTTTTTTTTTTAGTCTTTGCAGTAATAAAAATATTTCGCTTGAAGAGAACTTAGTTCTGTATTGTAAATTACCATGCTATTGAGTTCGGCTGCAGCCAAGGTTTCCCTTTACTGTGCCATGTTCTGGGTATGTTTTTCGGAGTTGAAAAAATTCCACTACGTTGCGATTAGGAGAGAGCCCTTCTAGTTACGATCCACAAACTGCACGTTGGCAGGACAACTAAAACAAGTGAAACAAACTCTTCTAATATATCTGCCGTGAGTGGAACAAATGAGTGTAACCAATCGTGCGTGTAATTAGGTGCTTTTCTCGGTAGTGTGGGTTCACCCACTTAAATTTTCTCGGTGAGGGCTGGGGATGGTCAAAAAGCGAATATTATAAATATATTGCTAAATAATCTTCTATGCAAACGTAATAGACTCATCAACTCGGACAAACGACTCGCAACACGACACAGACAGCATTGGCCGCAGCGACTTTCTTTTACTGATGACGGTTAGCGACTTTCACGAGACTTTCCAATCACACACCGCCCTCGCCGCATATCGGGACTGGGCAGTTCATCGATTACCCTTTAGATTATTCGAGTGATGCTTTAATTGCAATTTTCTTTTTGCCATTTAATCGGAATCTTGTGCTGGAGAAAGTAAGAAAAAAAGATATAAATGAAGGGAAGAACATAAAAGACAAGAACAGACAAGAACTTTTCAACTGGCAGCAAATGTTTTTCCCTTTTATTTATTTATATTACCCTTACCAGCACACTTCTGATTCCAAGTAAGTAAAACAAAATGTCTGTTTTTATATTTCTGACGTATTTATTTCTTTTGGGACAAGGGCTTGCACGGTAAACCATTTCACCATACTTGTGGTTGTCATCGAGGGTGATTATACTCTTTAAATAATAACTTAAAAATTAATTTACTTTAGAAGGAGTCCCGTATTCATATTTCTTTAGGCGTCACAACGTGAAGTTTAAAATGCAAATGCAATATACCATTTATGACTTAGTAAAAATAGTAAAAACAATGTGTAGTTTGAATGTCTCGAATGTAATGTGACTGGGGAATAATCAATTAAGGGACTTATAAATTGATTAGTCTATTACAGGTTGGCAATCAGTCGGGTTAAATTGTTAATAAGCCCCCAGCTCCAATCAAAATTCAAAGTTTTATGAAAGCTATGGAGTGTGCAAGATGAAGATATGTGGGACCAAAAATTCTACTAACCACATCATTACAATTATGGAAGTATCCCACTTTATATTTATTTCTTTGCTGGATTTCCACGCGTGTGAAACAATACAACACAGAAACAAGAACACGGACATCAAACATTTAACCCCTTAAGTGCCTTGGACGAGCTGAGCTCGTCGGCCACTTTCTGGCTAAAAATGCCACGGACAAGCTCAGCTCGTCCAGTGGTTTTTTCGGTTGCCCTCAATTCGACGGACGAGCTCGGCTCGTCCGAGTAGTTTTGCGGCACTGATCATAGATGGCAGCACTCGTATTAGATGGCAAATATCTTTTTCGCTTCTGCTGATTTGTGCGTAATAAACTTCAAATTTTATATGTAATACTAGAGGAGTAACGATTCAAAATAAAAACAAATCTGGCACTTTTAGGTTACTTTTGGAAAACAAAATTTGGCACTTAAGGAGTTAATAAGGAGGGTCCAGCTCAGCCGGAAATGGACTTGCGTCGTCCAGATCCATGCTTTTGAACGTGCGCCCATAGCAGACGACGCAAGGCGGTATCCCCGCTTTCGCATGTGTCCAATTTCGGTCGCACGGTGGCGACACGGTTCGATCTCGAGGCGAATAGCTATGACACAAGGATGTCTATGCGGCATACACAAAGTGAGTGTAGTTCGTTTAAAGGGTTTGAAAACTACTAAGCCTCGGTTACTCCACCACCCAGCTTTCAGAAACTAGTGCGAACTTCTCAGATTGCGGTTGTTGGAAGCAGGGTTGTGCACTCATGATGCAGGGTGTACCGGGCAGACCTCAACAATGCCATGGTGTACGCCCTGAGCCAGGAGGTTGCACTTTGGGACACATTCAACCGGAGCCAGCTCGAAGTCCTGGAGCACTTTGTCGACGTCCTCAGACAGGTAACGAGCAGCAGAAAGTGCAGGATCATTATGCAAGAAATGTTTAAGGGGAAGCTGGAAGAGCTTGATGCATTTGTTAGACTACTGAAGCTTGCAAGTAGTCACCTTATAAACTTCACCTCTTTTTTTTTTTTTTGCGGTGTTTATTTTTTTAGCAGGTACCGTGCTTCTAGGTGATTTAATGGAAAATCTGTATGTTTCGGGGTATCGTGGAAGAAAACTGGACACGGGCATGAAGTTCTTCCACCTTGTGGTCGGTTTGCCTCGGTGCATACTCGACCCGGAGGAATAACACAGAGCCAGCGGTTTCAAGAAAAAGAAACTACATTTAATTGGACATGGATAAGACGATCAATGCACTAACATTGTTACCAGCGCCGCTTGAGTCCAGGCAGTGACTGCCTGTGTGCCGCCTCTAATCCGCCTTATCAAAGTGGCGCGTGCGATGCATGCGTGGCCGGCTTGGCTATGCTGCCACGTAGGAAAGTCTGCCGCCTGGCATTGTAGTCGGGCAGCTGGGCTGGGGACCCACCAGGGTGCCCACGACCTCCAGGAAACATGCGAGTGACCGAAATATTTTGTAAAACGTCCTGGTACCCTGTAAGGAAAGGTAACGGAATAAGGAGTGTGGGTTCCAGAAGAAAGAAACAGCCTCACGGAGAGTTCGGTACAGGCTTCATTCCCAGTGCATTCAACCAGCCGATTACATCGTAAGAATATTTCTCATGAAGCTTGTGGGCTTTTTTTTTTATTCAAGAACAGCTTTAATAAAACTTTTCCAGTTTTTTTTATTTTTTCTTATTTTATTAACATAGTTTTTGGATTCATTTTGATTTGTCGGTGTATACTACTGGAAACACTGAACACTACGTCATAAACTATGCTCACACTCTGTGAGGCTACCACATCATAGTTGCTCTCGAAAATTTTGGCACTGCGTGCGTATGTATGTCGTTCCAAAGCACGTGACAACTTTGACACTCGAGATCTTCGGAAATCGTTAATTGCAATCCGCAAACTCCAGTCGCTACTGCCACTTGTCAGCAAAAAGTTTTCGGTTGAAAAAAGAAAAAAAAAAAGGGTTGGCTCCCGTCTTGCAGTTTTTCCCGGGGGATCCTTCCACGATGCACTTCCTGGGACGCCTACAGAAGTATGTGGCCTCCTTCCGGGAGCGGGGTCACGTCCTCCGCGGAGAGGCCCTGTCCACATTCCTCCGTGCCGCAGGCTCTGTGAGTACCGTACCCATTGCGCGGGATGTGCCTGACTTGCCCGTTTATTGTCCCCCCCCCCCCCCACCCCCCCCCCCCCCCGGGCACCGAACGCGGTCCGGAAGCACCAAGAAATGCGTAACAAAAGCCGGCGTATCATGCTGCGACACTTTTATGGCGTCGTCGGGCGGAAACTGAGGGACCAGTTTTGAGGATGCGGTAAAAATGCGCCAGTCGGGATGCGCTCCAAACACTAGTATTGTGTCGCAGTCTTTAAAAAAACACTGACACCCCCCAAAAATTTTAAAACATTTTTGCCAGGCAATTTAATATGGTGTTGGAAGACTGCCCAATCAAAATCTTGCTACATTGTCACGTATAATTTTAATAAAGTAAAAAAACGCAACTGCTCAAAACAGGAACCAAAACTGGACCAGGGAGGAAGAAAAAACGTAGACGAGGAGAGAGTTGCCGGAAGTCACATGGCTATACCCAACTGCGTTTGCTTTTTCGCTTTCTTTTTTCCCTTCATTTTTCCGGCTGTGCGAAGCAGATGGAAAACTTGCACGACACACAAAAAACACAAAAGCAAGCACTTCGTGCTTGACGTTTGTGCATTTTTCGAGCTCTTACCAATTCATGTTCGTAAGATGAGCAAGATGAGAAGGGGCGACGACTTGGCGACGTCTTCTTGGTGGTCGGCTGTGTCGTACTAAATAAATCCTAATTGTTTTGATCTGTAAATGATTTTTCTTTCGAAGCTAGACAGATTTGTCGGTACTACAGCGAACGACATTTCTGAAGTAGAGGACCCACACCCGCACTCAGTCCCCTTCCTTCAGCCGTGCAGCCTGCAACTCCCACGATACGACGCCATGTTGAGAATTAAGCATAAATGCACAGTTTTGTTCCAATAGACCTTATGCGAAATTGCTTTGTGGTCTGACAACACTGAGAGCGTCGCCATTTTAATGTTGGCAAGCGTTGTGGGTACCGAAGCACGGTGGAGGCATCGGAGACAGCCGTACGGGCAATGTGCGATGGAGCAGCAACTGCTTTCCGCCTTCTGACCATATTATGTGGACGAACAGTTCAAACGACCTACCGCAACTGTGTGACAAAACTATGGGAGGTTTGTGCACGCTGGCGACAACCTCGTCGAAGCAGCGGACCAAGTCCTACGCCTTCGCTGTGGGTGTCGCCAGCGTGTGCACGGGCCTCCGAAAGATCTAAGCCGTTATGCGCCTTTCATCTTTGAGAACACTTTTAATTCTTTTTTCGGTGCGAATACGCTTGAAATCGTATACTGTTCTACGCAAATATAATGACTCAACACTCATTTTTTTTTTTTTTTTTTTTTAATATTGGTTTAGGGTTTTTTGTTGGGACACTCTTTGTTCTTCTAAAAGAAACTGTGCCCTGGGCAATATTTTTCAAGCGTTGCAAAGGGCTAAAATTGGTTTCAGATAGCATTGACCTCAAGCACAGTTGACGGACGTTGCGCTATTAATGAAAATTTGTTCAACCCTGACAAAATAACTGCGGTGACTTTCCCGAACTACCCCCAGCTTCTTTGCACAAAACAAAACTTCAACCTCAGCTGCGACAAAAATAAAAAAATAAAATAAAAGGAGGTTGTAAAATAAAGTTGGCACCGCCCGTGTTGCTTCATTCGACGTCCGCAACGTAAATATTTTTGCGGCCACCGACATCGAAGTTTTAGCCACTGCGATGACCTTAACCATACGCATCTCCAATTATGGTTGGTGGCCTAGATTATTAAAACTGCCATCGTTTTGCCTCGCTTAACAGCCTTGGTCTCGTCCGCATGCATTGAGCTGCTTGCGCATCTAGAAAAAGGCCAGGCCGACACTACAACGCACATAAAAGAAAAAGGTTATAGGCAAGTTTGGTACAACTTCGTGAAAAGATAAGGGCCCGGTTCAATAGTTGTAAATGGCTTCACGCCGTGCGATAACGTCTGCATGTTTCTTCGCGTTGTCACCGATTGTTTTTGTCAAAAGCTGCTTCTCAAGTTGCAAATAAAAATAAGAAAAAAAAAAACTGTGAGCCCTGCTCACGTTCGCGTTCGTGTCACGCACGAATCGAAGGTTTATTGCTGCATCCGCAGCGGAACGCAGCAATCATTGTCATCGCATCTCTCGCACAAAGCGCGGTCGCTTGTTTACATGGGGTCTTTGCCGGTCGGGTCTCTGGTTTCGTTTTCTCGCCACTAACAAGATGGCGGACGTAGTTCTCGGTGCGCTACTAGATGGCGCTCTAAATTTCGCATATGGCCTATTCTCTGTGCAACTTGGTTTTTCTTTTCAATCAACGTATTTGTAGGTTTCTTGAAGCCACAAAAAATCTGTATGGTATTTTTTAAAAATTTTTAATATTGAGTGTGTGCCTTCGATGACCAATGTCTTTGATTATATTTGGTGGGTGTGTCTAAACCAGGGGTGGCCTGAGTGACACAGGGTTAGAGCCACAGATAAAACAACAGAAGTTCAGAGAGCAGGTTAAAAAAGGAAAAAAAAGGGGGGGGGGAGGGGGGGTGTCTGAAACGATATGGAGGGAACAGTCCTCTCCAAAGTGGACAAGTATAATTGTCGACTACAACAAATAACACCAGGCAGCAGAACATTTCCTTAACTGCAAAATGCATGGTTCGCTAGCCAGCCACTGCCCCCGACACCCGTTAAGCGTACAGTCGAGCACGATAATATCACCCCCGGGTATTTCGTATTATTGTTTATATTGAACAGTCCAAACATCCCATTGAAAATCATATGTAATAGTATAGGCCACCACCCACCTGTCGCTTCTCCCGCAGTCGGATTTTGGATTGCTGTACGTGGGTGAGTTGGGCGAGTTGGTGATGCATTTTAAAAGGGTAAAACAGCGCCAAAAGACACGGACAGGAAGAACTATGCAAACGGATCGCTGATTCGGATTGCGCCCTTGGCGAGCACGTAGCTCCCGTTGCGGGACTGGCAGATCGTTGGAACGGTAGCGTGCACTTTTTCCTTGAACACTGCTGTCGCTGTGCAACTCCTTAGCCCCAAAATAAAATAAAAAAAAAAAAAAAAAAAAATGTTTTCGTCAAGTTAGGTGTGTTGACAACAACCATTGAGCGTTGAGCAATCGCACTTTGAACGCCTTATCTTTGTTTACCTTTTCCTTTTGCCGTTATTGCTGTGCCCGTTTTTTTTTTTATTTTTTTGCTGCCAGAATTTAGTGAGATTTCTTCTTTGTAGCTTTCTTAACTTTATTCTATAGATCAAGAGGTTTTTTTGGGGGAATTTTTTATGCAACTCGCTTTTTCATTGTTTTTTTTTATTTTTTTTAATTATTTTTGTGTTTTGTCACGATGCTATGTGGAGGTCGTGGCCAGGCGCGCACGTGAACGATCGCAAACAACTGCAAACACGGTAACACGGTCGCCTAACGGGGGCAGTGTTTGCGATCTTCACGAACTAAGCTCTACCGTCTTTAGCAGCTCTTAAAGGCTCTATTTGGTAAGGTCCCGTTTGTCGCGGCCTTCGGTATTAGCAGAGACGCGCGGAAATTTTAACTGGAGCTTAAGTGAACATATTTTTGTATATCAAATTATTGACATATTGAACTATTATACAATCCCGTTTGAATTCGATATATCAGGGTTCGACTGTATACGGTTTGAAATTATTTCTAGAACAATAAAGGGAAGAGGGTCACCCTACGCATGTACAGTCGAATCTCGTTAATTCAAACTCGAGGGGGACCGAAAATTTGTTTGAATAAAGCAAAATTTTAATTACCGGGAGTTTCCTTCCGTAGAGATGCATAGAGACGTTTAAATTCTAGAACCCTTTTTGTCTTGGGGACACAGGAGGGGAAGGAAGGCACGCTTACCAGGGAGTCGCAAGCCTCACCTGGAGCTGCGAAGAGCCGCATACGGCTCGTGAGCCGTAGTTTGGCCAGAACTGGTCTAAACCATAGTTAACGGCACATGACCACGGAGAAGAGGATGGGTGCGATTATAACCGGCCAGCTCTCGATCGGCGGTTTTTGGGCGGAAAGAAAACAAATGGTGTTTTGGGTAGTTGGGCTTTCATGTGTCATGTACAAACAAAAAACCTTGGCGAGGATAAACACCCTGTCAGTGCCCCTTTAAGCTGCCGATGGTACCAACCGAGAATGCCTGTCGGGTCCTTGCAGCCGGACTCCCAGCTGCCAAGGATGGGCCCCTACGTCGGCTGCCTCGGAAGCAGGCCGGGGCTGCGCGGCTACCCGTGCAGCCTATGGATGCTGTTCCACAGCCTCACGGTGAATTCGTACCGTGCCTCTGCGGAGCACGGACCTGCCTCAGGTGAGGACCGCTCGTCGGAGGATTTTTTTATTTTGAGCCGACGCCATTGCAGGCACCGACGATGTGGCCTTTTAGTGTGGGCTTCCTAGATTTTGAAGCAATTTCCAGTACGACTTTATGGAACTAAGAGCTGTATATATCTTGGTTTCTCTCCTACGAAAAGCTACCCAACTTTGTCGGGATATGCGTGGGTCCGAACGCTTCCGTGTGCGTGCGGTGGTAAGAAGCATCTCAAGAATTGGATGTGAGCACCGCATCACCGGTTGACTCTTTGTCGGCAAACATCCGGGTTTAAATTCATTGCCAATTGGTGGGGTCGCGGAAATTGCAAAATTTTTAACAATCGCCGGAGTGCAGTAGTGGCTTCTCTGAGCATTTCCGAACCACGTGCTTGGCCATGATGAACATTGGCCACTGGAATGAACGAAAGAACACCCGACAGATCCTGTTTGCAACGAATTTAGGGGGTCCATGCTATTCGGCTCACTCTTGCGTTTTTTCGTAACGGGTTCGCACGTGGAGCTTCTGCACCATTCTAATAATCGCCTTCCCTGCACTGCCGTCCTTGTCTGCCGGTCTGTGGAGTGGGTTCTGAGCACATGCAGTAGCTCCCTTCTGCAGATTATCAAACGCTACGCACATGCCCGCAGCCCAGTGACGCGGCATTTTTTGCCTAGGTATTAAGCACTGGAAAAGCGTATAAACAAACTTGCACCTTTACGTATTATGGATGTAGTAGGTTACATAGATACGGTATATAGCAAAACCGATACAATCCCTTTATTCTTCCTCGCAGGAGACCACCCAACGTCAGCGAGGACGACGCTGCTGACGATCCGCGACTACGTTTCGCACTTCTTCACGTGCAGCGATTGCGCGGCTCACTTCGCGTCCCTGGCAGTGGGCCTGGAGTCCAAGCTGCGGGAACCCCGCGACGCGGTGCTGTGGCTCTGGCGGACGCACAATGCGGTGAACCGGCGCCTCTCCGGGGACCAAACCGAGGACCCCGCCGCGCCCAAGGTTCCCTTTCCGCCGGAGTCCCTGTGCTCCGAGTGCCGCACGTCCCGGGGCCGCCAGGACACGGTCGACTGGAACGTGCGCTGGAACGTCGACAGGACTCTCCAGTTCCTGCTCCACTATTACTCCGGAGACTCGGTCATCGCCGTCGTTGCTCTTCCGAACGAACCGGCCGGTACGTGGCGGGGGCCGAGCATCATGCTACCGCTGGCACTAACCGCAGTCTTGCTAGTGCTGCTGCTCGTGGCGTTGCTGGGGCCCTTCGGCTGCGGTCGGCGAAAACTAAGGCCCTGTCGAAAGCTATGCACACGTCGGGGTTTTGCGTCGCCGCCCTGAGTTCGACACGGATCTTCCATGAAGGCCTTCTGAAGTGGGCCGACCTGTACAGAGCATGCGCCGAGGCACGGGTTGCATCTGCGCCGTCTATACTGCACAGTGCGTGTGTAGCCGTGCAGGGGTGAATTGCAGACGATGCGGCAAGCACAGGAACTGCTCATAATGATGAAAGCCTGAGAGTGAGGGAGGTCTACCCTCAGACTCACACTTTTTTTTTATTCCAAACGGTTACCGGGTAGCTTGTTTTTAAGCATAGTTATGGGAACTACTCATACCAGGGAGAAACAGAGAAAAGAGGAGACACCCGCAAGTTGTTTTGTGGTTGTCATTCTTGTTTTCTTGTTTTCTCTCTGTACTAGTAGCTCTTCAAGTATCTACAAAGTAGACAGCCTCTTACAGCTTTAGAACAGTTGAGATCAATTGCCACCGGCTGCATTTGTCTGGTAATTGTGGTAGGTTGGTGGTGCCCCTGTGCTTGTCTGTCTGCATTTCATCCAGGCACAATCTTGGGGTGTCTTTGCTGTCGGCGTGTTTGCAGCACACTTACCACCGTACCTCGAGGAGCCAGTGGCATAGCCAGGGGAAGGGGAGGGGAGGGGGAGAGGGGAGAGAGAGAGGGAGTGGGGCTCATGGGGTTTCACCACCCCTCGAAATCCAGCCGACCCTATAACTCTATAATATACACGTGCATTTTTACCTCTCTCCCCCCCCTCTGCACCCCATCTCAACCCCCCTTCCCTTCTCCCTCCCCACCCCGCCCCCGATATATATACCTGGCTACATACCTCGGCGAAGTCACTCACGAACTCGCTCACTCACACTCACTCACGCTCACCGCGTCATGGTGAAGGGCTGTGAATGACTTCGTGAACTCGGACCAAGTCGTGATGTGAAGGGGATGTGACTTCGTGAATACGGAAGGAGTCGTGATGTGAACAGGCGTGACTCCGTGAACGCGAAAGAACCCGTGATGTGAAGGGGATGTGACTTCGTGAACGCGGAAGGAGTCGTGATGTGAACAGGCGTGACTCCGTGAACGCGAAAGAAGCCGTGATGTGAAGTGGATGTGACTTCGTGAACGCGGAACGAGTCGTGATGCGAAGGGGAGTGACTTCATGAACTCGGAAGGAGCCGTGATGTGACGGGGAGTGATTTCGTGAACTCTGACGTACCCGTGATGCAGTGGTGAAGGACTTCGTGACTCTGGTGTATACGTGATGTGATGGTGAATGAGTTCGTGAACTGAATTTGTGATGTGATGGGGACTGAGTTCGTGAACTAGGAGTCAGGACTCAGGAGATGTTGGTATGGATTTGCTTGCGTGTGCGTACTCTTCGCGACTGATAGCCAACTTGACATTTGGTAGTGTCTGCAGCATGTTGGTGCCCTTAAACGCACAAACATGCTGTGGTGGTTAGTATAGAGTGCAGACGGAGCAGAAACTTGGAAGGAACTTTTGTTAGAGGCCAGAACGAGATTCGTAGGGGCGGTCTGGTAACGTTTGGGGGAAGCAACTGCAGGGGGCGTTTGCTTTGGAGGACTTTGAGAGAGGGTGTGGCATTTTGCGTGTGCGACTGTGCGCGGCTTAAGCGCGAAATCGGAAATGGGGAGGGGACTGTGTATTGCAGAGGAAGCGGCACCAGCGCTTCCCAGATGGGGATTGGGGGGGAGGGGGGGGGGGGATGTTTGGACCGGCACAGACTCAGCGGCGGCTCCAACGAGTTTGGCGGGCCTCCGCTCCTCTGCCCCGATACTGCGGGCGTGCGTACCCGCGTCGCGTAGTACACGTGCAGCTTGGCGAACGTTAGGGGGCTTTGTCTGTGCGCGGCAGACGTTTGAGCCTCCTGCATGGCCGTGGGGTTCCCTTTGCGCGGCGCGGCTTGGCGGCTCCTCCTTTCGGTGTGTGTGTGTCATTGTGTGTGGGGGGGCCGGAGGTGTCGTTTTGCCACTGTGCTATTCTGCCACGGGAGGGTTTCTCTTCGCGTTGATTGCATCTGCGTGCGTCCGTGCGCCCATGTTTTTGTCTTTTGCAAGTGCGTGCGTGCGCGCACCCCTCAAGGAAACACAAATAAAACCGCCTTCCCGGAGCTTTTACGCGAGTACTGGTGTGACCCTAACTGGACTATACAATGTTTGTTTTCTCGCTCTCGCTTAATAATGCTTACGAATATTCTGATGCTGGTAATATGCGGCACACGCTCGTTTTTATTCGTCCACACGAAAAAGTGTGCGCCGGATTTGATCTGTTTCGGCCGCTTCCGGATTTTTTCAAACGCTATTTAGCATCTAAGATCTCGGGAAGGCTTGACGCTATTCTAGAAAAATCACGGAAGTTTACGGGCTTTATTCATATGCCAGAGAATTATGATAATTTTAAAAATGTGAGGAAGCAGCCGATTGGCATCACGGTTCGTCGCCCACGTTTCCTAAAAAGCGCGCGGACGTGTCCGTTGCAATAACAGGCGGAGAGGATTTTACGTGCTCTCAGGCGTTTAGGTGGGGGCTTCGCTTGGCTGTTGCCGATAATAGTTTTCATCACAGCCGTGCATATGCCTGAGTTCTTGAATTCCAGGAATACGAACAGAGTTCTTCGATCTCCGTTGAACGTGAATATTGACTAAAGAGGTTTTTGTTTCTGTTTATTTGAGCAAAAGTCAGCTACTGGCACGATACTTGTGTGTAAAAGCCGGACCCCATCAGAAAATATGCGACGAACACGTGGCGAAACTCAATCCACTAAGCAGCCTAGCCTTACTCCGTGAACAGCGCTTCGAACGCGAAGGCGGGGTACGAGTGTTCAAAGATTCTTGATAAAATGACATAAATCTTTTCCAAGGGGGGAGACGATAGACCGTCCCCATTTCTGGATTTATCTCTTTTTTTATGCTAGCTAGTTTTGCATACAAACCATATCGGCCACATTTTGCTGGAGTGATTTTTATTTGCAATCGAGACCACTCTTCTTACATAAGCGCTTAGACATTCGTCTCCTCGTTATTTTCGTGAGCAAGTGACTCATTCAAAGGTATGCTGAGTTTTTTCAACAGCGTCGGAGCGATACGAATGGCTCTCACTTCGATCGGAAGTGAGAGCCCATCACACAGGACCACAAGCAAACCGCGATTACGTTGTCATCACCGTCATCTTTCTGTTGCAAGCAGGCTACCAATGAAAAACAAGGTGCGCGGTCGAGGTCAAAGTCAAATTCGAAGTAAGTGTTTATACGACGTGCAAGTAGGGGTACCAAAACGTGTCTTCCGCGCTTGCGAACGTTATCGTGACCCATTGAAAATAAGTAAATACGAAGAATGGCACAACAATCAGCGGGAAACATAAAGGGCGCGCACAGAACGCGCGAAGACGAGACAGAAAAGCGCGCGCCGTCATTGGTCAAAACGAGGTGTAAATAGCGGTACGTCAGAGCGTCTGAGGGGTAAACAAACACACAAGGTGTGCAAAAAGCTGAATAAGCCTGTTATTTTTAAAACATGGAAAACTATTGAACCGGGCTTGCCGCGTTTTTTTAAACTTTTTTCATGCACATCGCCGTGCTGTTCTGGGGCACGTATCGTCGGTTCACTCAAAGAGCTTTTACTTTCCCACGCTCTTTAGAGCCTGACATTTCACCTTTTTGTCAGATGAGCTGGCGATGTCCAGTTTTTCTGACAGGCTGTGTTCCCCGTCTAGAAGTGTGGACGAGCTGTTTACCCGTCCTCCCATCTTGCATTTCCCACCAGACCTTGTTTCAAAATGACCCTTCTTTTGTAACAAAAACAAAATTAAGAACCTGCCTCTATTCATCTCAAAGACTATGTTTGATGTTCGCTGAAGGCGTCCTCACTGGCTCTGTCTGCTTGAAGAAATCCCCGGTTATCAAGGGGAGCTGAAGGAGCGAAGACGACCTCTTCCCTTCGAGATTAGTTAGCTTTCTTCTCCTTGCCAACGTCGTCTTTAATTTCACTAGAAAAACGATAAACGGTAGGGAGTTCTTGTAGACGGTTTTTGTGCTCGGTAACGATACCCAATAACGATACTATGCATGCACAAAGACGACAAAGGAGTATCGGGTATCCTTACAGGAATTATGGGAACAATACACAAAACTCCCTAGTTTCTTAGACGTGTAAACAGGAAGTATAAGCACTTACTTAATTCGTCCCCAACACGCTCGTTTGTGATTGGTGCTTTTGTGTTTCAAGCTTGGGGCAAGCTTTTGTGTTTCAAGCTTGAGGTAACCTGTAGGTACAAAGTTTGACCTTGCCAGGTGTAAGGAAAAGTTCGCTGTTCGGGTTTTTCCTTTTAAGTCCTTTGTCGACTCGTTGTGACCTGTTCTTCTTTGTTACGAGTTACGTGTGGAGTCTGTCGGTTTTGGTTTTAAGGAGCCTTTTGGTGTTTGTTTTAAGGAGCATCTCTGTTACGCCCGACGCGCCACCACCGCGCCGTGACGTAACAGAGATGAGTTCATGTATAGGCAAACAGGTCGCCGAAATTATGTTCTGGCTATACACGAACCAACGAACTCATCTCTGTTACGTCACGGCGCGGTGGTCGCGCGTCAGGCGTACTTCCGGTCTGGGGCTGAAGGCGGAAGTCCCTATGTGAGACGTGTATTCTAGCGTTGTATTAAAAAAAACCTGACAAAAACTTGCCTTCTCGTCAAAACGCCGCGACTGGGGCTGCACCAAAAGAGTCGAGAAAGGTTTGAAGATCAGTTTTCATGTGCTCGGTTCGTCCGAGAACGTGGATATGTGCCGTGAAAATGGAAAACCAGTCGCCGTCGGACCACGATTGCTTGGGCGGGAGGCAGTTTGGGTTAAATTCACGGATACTTGTTGTCATCAGATTTATTTGTTTTGTTCCGTCATGAAAGCGGGAATACCGCCAAGTTGTTGGGACCGCCTGCATGCGGACGTTCAGTGCGTCTTCAAGATCGAACGGCCGCCTGATCGCTCGAACTGTCGTCTGCTCTTTCAAACGCTTCTGCTCGTCGTCTGCTCTTTTAGACGACACCGGCCCGTGGACCAAATGTTGGCCCGGTACTTGCGATAAGAAGTGAGTGCAGGCCTCAAAATGCTTAAGTTTGAAAATTTGTAAGCAGGCTCGATGTAAACAGTGGATACAGGGAGATGTTGATCGTTGTTACCAGTGACAATCAACGACTTGGTCCGATTCTGCTTGCGATTTTCAGTATCGATGTTGAACATCTCAGCTACGGTTCGCGCTGTTGTAACCCGAGCGACGTCATGACTTAAAATTGCGACCGAAATTTCATCATGCGAATCAGGCTTTAGCGTACCCTCTGCGGCGTCCACGCGGAATGAATCGCTGCATGTCACATTATTCACGCGAAGTTTTGTGGTGTAGCGAGCCTCAGTAATTTCGCTGAGGCTGCTCAAGTAGTCAGGCAATGCCCAGGAAGACGTAGAATCAACAATTCCAACGCAGAAAAGTGCACGGGGACTCACACCACCGCCGACAACAACGCAATTCAATGGTTTGTTTATCGGCGACGCGGCGAGCTTCTTGCCCACACCCCATCGCGCATGCGCGGCGCCGGTGGCGTCGGCTAGGAGCGCTCCAGTTTGTTTGTAAACATGAGTTGGTGTATAAAATACAGTGGAAAAATGATGTGAAATGAGGTGCCACTGAGCACCGCGTTTTACATGCTCACGTCACGTCATGTGAGTATAACGTTAAAAAATTCATTTTTAAGTC